GTGGAGGGAGGGCACGCAGCCCGAGACAGAGCCCCAGCCGGGAGAGAGGAAGCACAGGCGCGAGAGCACCTCCAAGAAGTCGCAAGGGGCGGAGGGTATCGACAGTCAGACGGCAGGAGAGATAGCGGGGCTGCTGCGACATATGACAGAGCAGCAGGGGCAGATCATTGCGCAGCAGAAGCAGATCTTGGAGATACGCGCTCAGCACCTGTCGGCGGTGGAGCAACGGAGCTTGTCGGGAGCTCAGAGGACGCAAGCTGGTCAGGGGATGGACGCGGGGAGGAGCAGCTGGATGAGGCTTGCGGGGGAGGTGCAGTAGTAGGAGGCGGGGGAGCGAGCTGGGCAGGCTTGAGCGCAGCTGGTCAGCTCATGGCGGGGAGAGAGGCTTGGAGCCAGGGGCTGCAGGGGCTGCAGGGGGTTGATGTCCGAGGGCTTGGGGGATACCAGTCGAGGTCGCCGGGGCAGGGAGGGGGTGTTGAGGCATCTTTTGGAGGGGCTCAGGCTTGTGTACAGAGGTATGGAGGAGGGGGGCAGGGGAGCAGCAGTGCTCCCACTGCCCAGTGGCATGGTACGGAGGTCGGAGGGCAGGCAGGGCATCAGGGGTGGCAGGCGACAGGAGGGGTGGTGGTAAGTCCTCCGTTGTTTTGGCAGCAGAGCAACGTCACAGGAGGAAGCAACCAGGAGTACCTGCTGCTGCAACGCTTGCATGCTCAAATCTTGTCGATGCTTGCGGGTATGATCAACAGCTCTCAACCGAAACACTAGGGCCTGTCTGTGAGATGAATGAAATGTACAGCACGTGCTTCAGGCTCTTCAACCTATTTAATCATGCCGCGAGGCTGATTGCTCACGTTTCATAGCAAACTACTTCACTGCCTTCAAGCCCACTGTCTATGAGGTTCAAGGTAGTGTCCTTGAAAAGAAACTCTTCAGTTCGCTGTCCATACAGGCCTTCATTGCGACACTACTGCTGCCATCGCCCCAAGGTGGCGTCCCTTTCCGTGAGCTTTGGCTTCTGCTTCTGCTTCCTCCACCAACTCCAGCCCTTCGCCCCATGCCTCCATCTTGGCAATCAGCTCGCAAAAAGTCATGAGCACCGCTCCAATCATTCCTTCCACTCCGGGCTGGATACCCCTCTCTAGGATCTGTCGCTGCTGCGCCATGATCTGCTCCTGCTGCTCCATCATCTGGTGCAGCAGCGATGCTATCTCCCCTGCTGTTCGGCGGTCAATCACCGCCCTGACCTTCTCCCTGCTGGACGTCTTGGACGTGCTCTCGCGCCTGTGCTTCCTCTCCCCAGGCCACGTGTCTTCTGTCTCATCTGACATCGCATCCCTCCCCTCCTCTTCATCCTCCTGCTGCTCCAGCGCTCTGCTCTTTTTCTCCCGCCGAGGACGCCGACGGACAGCTCGCGCTCGACCCCGAGTCGGAGAAAGGGTTCTTTGGGCTCCTCGCTGTCGCTCGACTTTC